TACTCTTGTTTAAGTCTTAAATGAAAGCCAGTTGTGTCCATGGGACAATACATTAAAATCAATATATGATGTAGCCTACTTAGCATTGCTAAAAATGTATTAATGTTTAAAGACATGATCTGAATTCATAATGCATAAATGCAGCAATCATTTATCATTAATAAAACTATCACAAAATTCTTATGGGTATGTGTGTTGCCAAATTTTAAGTAACAAGAGAGCTAATAGGAGAGTTTGGCAACTATAAAAACTTGGTCATCATGCAGTATTTGATTGTGTCATAATCAGATTGACAAAAAGTACAATGTAAGAAAACAAGGAAGGTATAAAAATGTACTAGAGAAAGGTTAAGTACATGTAAAGTGTTTTTCTGAAATAAGAGAAAAAAATCAAGGAAATAATTGCTTAATGACTAAAATTGGTAATCAATAAAAATCCTATCATTGGACCTTGCCCACTTCAGTCACCTGATTTTAATATATTATTTTTCTGAAATAATAAAATGTCAAATTTTATCTATAGTTCCACATTTGGAAAGAATGACATACTGAAATTTGAATGCTTTCTTATTCAGTTTATGATGGTTGCAGAACCGTTTGATGGCCTTACATTCAGAATCAAGTTAATAAGGTCTTAGCAATAATTTACTATAGATATTATTACATTTCTGAATTTTTTTCTTTCTTTTATTTTTTGAGACATCTGTCTCCACTTCTGGAGTAACAGAATTACAGGCATTTGACACCATGCCCAGCAACAAATTGGTTATTGTGGACTTTTTCACATATTTTTTATATAATAGACTTGTTCCTTATTACATATGATTTTTCTTGAGAGCTCTTTAAAAAAAATACTTGGGCCAGGACCCCACCCAAAACCTACTGAATTAAGAGAGGAGAATGGAATATACATTTTGAGGATGTTCTCAGGTGATTCTGATTACCCCACTCCTTTAAGAAGTAAAGAATGCTCCTGTCTACCAGTCCTCACAGAGGTGTAGGAGAAATTAGGCAAGCAGATTCCTAAATTAATGTCCTAAAACCCTCCATACATTTCCCAATTCAAGACCTTCATCTCCTCAGAATCCCTTATTTTTCCTTTGTCTATCTCAATATCACTGAGTATCACACTTATTATTGTTCAATAAAATAACCTCCCATTTCCTCCTGCCATCACTCACTTCTAGAAAGAGAGAACTCCTTAAATATAAGAGCTGTCTTGTACTTTACCTCATTTCCCTCCACCAATCCAATTCCTCACATTACTCACATGTAGCACTTCTCACTATATATTCTTATGTACCATTTCCTATATCTTACCTTTTTCCCCTTAAAAGAATATAAGGTCCTAAAAATGAAGAAATTATAAATTATTTGAAGTTCTATCTTCAGTGCCTAGTTCTCAAAATATATTGAGTAAATGAACTACCTAAAAGATTCACCTTTTTTTCTTTTTGTGGAGTATGTACAAGTTACACATATCATTGGAAACTTTCCACTTTCTGTTTGAAGTGAGAATGAACTCTTTGTCTTAGAAATTGCTTGTTTCCCAGTTGATAATTCGGAGAGTGATAATTGACATTTCTGCAGTATAGAACCCAGCATATCGGGGAAGAACATCTCAATGCTCAGAATGAACTTTTGAACCAATATAGTTTTTCATATACAAATTCTACCACATGCTAGGTTTGTTAGCCAAAGACTCAGTTTCTTCATCTGAAACTAGGAATAAAAATGACTAGTTTCTGTTAAGCAGATCAAATGAGGCAAGATACATCGGGTAGCACAGATGTAATGAGTGCTCAGTACATGGGAGCTAGCATGATTAAGCTTGACATTGTGATGGGTACATTATGGTAAGTACATTGAAAAACTGAATGACTTTATTATAATTGGAGCTACTCACAGACATGAGGTGAAAAGTAGAAAATTATACACCTCAAAATGAGCCAATGCACTTAATAATATTAAGAAATGTTATTTATACATTGAATAATTTCTTAATTTTGGTTTTGGGGTTTACATGTTGAATCATAAAAATGATAATAATACTCAAGATCAATTTTATGAACAAGCACATAATTAGACTTTTGGTCTGTAGCACAACTTTTAGCAGAATCAACTTGAGACCTTTTTTTTTACTGCACATATGAAATTGTTAAGACACTGATGCTAGTCACTAACATGAATGGATAATTAAGAGCATTTACCCTTAAGGATGTCCTTAATCTCATAGTAGATGAAAGAATCATCAATTTATCAGAACAAAGCTGAGTGGCCACTTGAATTTATTGAAATTGTTCCTCTTTGCCGCTGCCTTGCACGCAGAATGTAAAGTCCTACATGTACATGGGGCTGGTTTCCTGCTCATGCACATATTCCAGAATGCCATGACACATAAGTGGGTGCTGCACTGTGATGCAATCATGACGAGGGCCTATGCTGCTCTATGATGCATCATAAAATGCCCTAAATGCTTACTATTCATGTGTAGTACAAAGTTCATGCCTTGAAAATATTGAACAGGATTATCTCATGTTCTGTGAGTAGCTCCAATTATAAAAGTCACTCAGTTTTTCAATGTACTTACCATACTGTACCCATCACAATGTCAAGCTTAATCATGCTAGCTCCCATGTACTGAGCACTCATTACATCTGTGCTACCTGATGTATCTTGCCTCATTTGATCTGCTTAACAGAAACTAGTCATTTTTATTCCTAGTTTCAGATGAGGAATCTGAGTCTTTGGCTAACAAACCTAGCATGTGGTAGAATTTGTATATGAAAAACTATATTGGTTCAAAAGTTCATTCTGAGCATTGAGATGTTCTTCCCCGATATGCTGGGTTCTATAGTGCAGAAATGTCAATTATCACTCTCCGAATTATCAACTGGGAAACAAGCAATTTCTAAGACAAAGAGTTCATTCTCACTTCAAACAGAAAGTGGAAAGTTTCCAATGATATGTACAACTTGTACATACTTCACAAAAAAAAGAAAATGGAAACTAATCCATATGTCAAATAGCTTGATTCAGCCACAGTGTACACATATATCAAAATATCAGCTGTACATCATAAATATAAGTAGTATTTATTGATCAATTGAATATATGTATATTAAAAAATGGAAAAAGGGCTGGAACAAAATATGAAACCTATAAGAACAGAACAGTGTAACAGAGTAGGTCAACTGCCTGAGCTCAAAACAAAACTTCTACCAACACTTTTTGAAATCTGTGGGCAAGCCTGAATCTCTCTGAATCACAATAGCCTCATCCAAGAAGATGACAGTGCAGGCCCCTACTTCACCCTGGCATGAGCAGTGCCACCTTTCTAGCCTTGGTTCCCACGCTTGGTCACACCCTGAGTCAGGCTGTCTTTCCATCAAAACTCCCTGCGGGAAGGCCTTTGAGGGGCCTCTCCACCATCCACAAAGCTTTCTGATACCCATAAGCAAAATTAAACTGTAACTACTTTCCATGGCTCTCTGAACCCCTCTTGTTATCAGATATAATAGAATTACTTATGTATGGATCTGGCATACCACTGAGCTCCTGAAAAACAGGTAATGGTCGTTGTTTAATCTCCTCTCTACATTCCCCACATAAAAAAATACAACAGGTGGCTTATAAAATACACTTTCAACAACCATTAATAGAAAAGAAGGCAAGATTCACAACCCTTATTCATTTCACCTACTAAAACCACAGAATTATTTAGCCTACTCACTGCGATATACCATTAAGAAGTAAGTAAACTTTCAAAAAGTTTCTCAGAATTAGGACAAATGCACTGTGACCGACATTCCTAAAAAGGCTGTTTTACTGGCACAGTGGGGGAAAGAGATGTGTATCTCCGGGTCAAGGAAACAGAGAGAATGCAACTTGTTTCTCTTCCTTAAATCAAGAAAAATCCAGTTCTGGTGCTCCACTCCATCAAAGTTAATCAAATTAAGCAGCTCTCACCCTCCTCCTCATTTTGTCTACTTGTCTTGATTAAATGCCCTGTTGGATTCAAAATAAACTGGCCTTTTTACCTTAGAATTTGAACTGCAGAAGCTCTGGCACTACTCTTTGCCCAAATGCCAAAAGACTACCAGTAGAAACTGTTCTTTAGGCTAAATACTGTACTGCCCAGAAACCCTCTTTGCAAAGAGGGTTTAGTTTAATACTAAGTTCCTTTATCAGAGTGGCAAGAAGCAGTCTTCAGGGCGAGATGAATTTTAATCAAATCGACCTGGTTTTTGCCATTGCCAGCAGTTGTGTGAATTGTGTTTTTAAATCTGCCCTTTCTCTTCCTATAAAATGGAGCAAGGTTATTGAGTGAGATGGGGGTAGGTAAAATTTTAAATGCATAACTTGGCAATGATGAATGGTCAGTAAGTACTAATTTTGATGAGGGACCTAGGCCACAAGGGCGGTTTGAAACTCTGGTCATTCACAGAAGTGGGTGGGAAAGGGCCAGTGATTGAGATGGAAGCCTGTCTTACTGAAGCCACTCCTCCTTCGGAAGCTGTGCCTTCTGGTTTAATGAATTTCATTTGTCCTCATTAAAGACTTCAGGCCACCATTGCTCCCTCACTCCTGGTCTTAATGTACGTTTACACGTGGACACGAACCTTTTCTATTCAAACCCTGTCTGTTACAACCAAAGTTCATCCCAGAAGTCTTTCAGATCCTTGGAAACTTTGGGACTTTGGATTGTCAGGTACCAGCTCCCCCACTCCACTCCCACTCCGGAACACGGATGGGATCCCTTTTGTCTTCGCAGCTGGAGCTTGAATTCCCACTTCCTCCCAGCGGCTCTCTGCGCACGAGGGCGGCGGACCCCGTCATCCGTGTGCGGTTTTGGGGTAGTGACTTCTGCTGCGGCCCCGGGCCTCCACCCACGGCCGCGGCCGTGACGTCACGGTGTGACTCCCTCCGGGCCCGCCCTATAAAGCGGCAGGTGCGCGGCTCGCCTGCGGAATGTTCGCACACCTCAGTAGCCGCCGCCGAGATCCCGGGCGAGCCCAGGGCGCTGGCTGCTCCCGCCACCCGCAGCCGGCCGGGCTGGGCCTTGCGCACCCGCGCGCACGAGCTCTTCTCTCCTCTCTCCCAGCCCCTGCCGGTCGCCGCCATCCGAGTTGCCCCAGAGACCGAGACTCCGCCGTCCCGAAGGACCAATGAGAGCCTCGCTGCCGCCGCGGGCGCCCGTGGTGCTGTGGCTCCTGATCCTCGGCTCAGGTGAGCACCTGTGGCGCTCTAGTGCCCCGCGCCTCCCCAGGCTCCAAGAAGCTGGCGCTCCACGAACTTTGCTGCTGCTTTCCACAAAACGCCCTGCGGCGCCCCGAAATTTGTCCAGCGGGAGGTGATCAGAGGGGAGGTACTTCTGTCTCTCGCGTCCCAGACGGGATGCTGATGGAGAATTTAGAGATCATTTGATCCTAACCTTTTCTTTCAGAGATAAAGAAACAGAGGTCCAGAAAGGTGAAGTGGTTTCCTCAAGTCTGGTGAATTCCTGGCAGCGTTTGCTGCCCCCTGCCTAAATTCCCCATCACCTGTCTAGTGACTTTAGTTTTGCCTTTCTAGAGGCATTCACTTTGTCCCAGAGAGAATCTAAAAGCAACCATCTGCCACCTTTTAATTGAGACACCTCCCCCCATTAAATCATGATAATGCAGGGGCTTGAAACTCTTAAAGTCGTCCCTAGCGCTCAAGTTTATTTCCTATGTAGTAATAATAGTGGGAAATGACAATAATATTGATTAGCCTCTATTTGCATTACTTTCACCTTTTATACACACATTCTTTTACGAGTTGATGCTCGTATCTGGAACCTATTAAAATGGGGTGGAATAACATTCTATCAAACAGGAAACATTTTGAATGTGAAGTGATGGAGATATTTAGACAAGAACTGTAAAATGATTATGTTGGATCAATTTGGTAGTTTTTTTTAAATGTGGAAACTCACGTAGACTCTCTGTGAAAAGAATACCTGAATAAAAGAAGCTCTGTAATTGTAACAGCTGACTTTGCTTCTTGGCAAAATGTGAAGTCGCTTTCATAAGTGACTGAGTCACAACAATAGCACATGTGCAATAACTGCTTTGATATCAGGAGATAAACACTTCTAGCTAACATAGCTGACTGGTGAGAAAAACTCCTTTCTTCATCTCTCCTTCTTCCTTCCCTGCAGGCCATCGTGCTGCTGGACTGGACCTCAATGACACCTCCTCTGGGAAAGGGGAGCTATTTTCTGGGGACCACAGAACTAGTGGACTTGAGACTTCCTCAAGAAGTGAGATGTCCTCAGGAAGGGACATTTCTCCTGTAAGTGAAATGCCTTCCAGTAGTGAACTGTCCTCAGGAACTGACTATGACTATTCAGACGAGTATGATAATGAGCCACGGATAGCTGGCTATATTGTGGATGAATCAGTCAGAGGTGAGTAGAGAATAAAGGGAAAATGTTGTCTACAAGATGTGGGTTTATCTGAACAAAGCTGCTTCAGAAGAAACAGACAGCTCCCCAGATTTTTCCAGTGGCTTTCTTGTGTATGTATCTATTGCATACTCTCTAAAGAGCTGTATGTAGGCACATCCTACATCTCCAGAACATCAATCAGTGATTTATGTTTAACTTTAATCTTTACAACAACTTTATAAGTAAGAATTGTTATTCTTATTTTACAAATACCATAACTGAAGCTCAGGAAGGTTGTGTTGTTCAAGTGTGCACAGGTAGCAAGCAGTTGAACCAGAATTAAAATGGCAGTCTATTTGATTCCAGACACTAGGTTCTTTCCCACTGTGCCACATGACCTCTATTCTGAGAGACAGAAGTAGTCATTAACCATTCCTATCTGCTTTGTAGCTTAGCATTTGTATTCCCTCCCCCACGCCACCCTTCTCCAAATAACTGCATTTTAACACAGAAAAGAAAGAAGTAATGGGACACAAGGAATTGAGTGCTTTTAAATGTGAACTGTGGAGAAACTGGTGACAAGAATCATCATACCTTCTAGAAATGTTAAAGAAGCATAGATTTTTTATTGTATAATCCTGATTTAACCCCAAATCCCATTTGTCAGTGACTCATGGTTTCCTTCACTTTTGCTAATCTTTTCTAAAGACCTTTGCTTAAATGAGAGTAACAAAAAAGGAGATGTGGGGGTTTTTTGCCCTCACATCACTTTGGAGTTTGAAGGAAGAAGAGACCATTAATAAATCAGATGTAAATATCCCAGGAGCATCCACCTTGGAGGCAGGGCAAAATGGTTTCAGAGCTCTTCCAGACCAGTTTCTCTGACTCCTCCTCCTGGCTTCCAGAGTTGGTGAAGGAAGTGCAAGTGGTGGCACAAGTGCACTGACTGGGAGAAGTTGTTGGTGAGAAAAACCTTAGTGAACACTTCACTCTCTTGCTTCTAAACTTCAGCTTCTATGTGTGGGGAGGGATGAGATTAGACCATCAAGGTGTCTAGCACCTTGATGCTTTAAGTTGCTAACACTTCAGAAGACCAAATTATTAGTGGAGCAAATGGCTAGTGCTCAAAATTGCAATGCATTATAAACCAGCATGAGATCATTGGTTGAACTCTTTAGACAGGCTGTTCAGTTAAATATCTAACACAGTGACTATGATTTCTTTTTGAGATTTGCAATGTATCTGATAAAGTACAGTAATATTCATTTAAAATGTTTCTCTTACGAGAACTTACTCTTACTTGGCTCTTTATTTAAGCAAAGAAAAATATCAATATAAAAATCACATGAACACCTATGTAATATTACTCCCAATTTAACTTTTGTGTTATTTGTAACAACATGCTAAAATAGTAATAATATTTATTTGTCATTTCCTTGATCACAGAGGTTCTATCTTTGATACCCTTGTTAACATTCACTGCCTTTCTAATGTTTTCTATTTAATAGGCACTGCAGAACTTTTATGACTAAATAGTATTTTCTCTTTTCACTGGGCTCTGATTGCTGAATTCTCAATCATGTAAACCTACTAAGGGATTAGTGTAACAAAATGCACAGCACTGCATAGAAACCTCCTCTCCCCATCTTTAGCATGTGAGGGAGCCACACCTTGTATAAGAATGAACAAAGTTCTATAGATTCGTAAGTTAACATCAGACTTGGAGGTATCAAGCACAAATATTGCTGGACTATTTTCAAATAAATCAAACACAGATGAGCCCTTTGGAAAGTATCAATTATGATTGATTATAACCTGGGAGCTAAAAAATTGATATATATTTTTCAGTTTTTTCCACACTTAAGTAGTGCCCACCAATTCCCAACTATGATGTAGAGCCAAAGACCATTAAGGGTAAATGAAGGCAACAAATACCACCCAAGTTCCATTTTAACCAATGGCATTGTCCAGTATAGTAGAAAAATAACAAACTTTGACATCCAGTATGGTCATTTTCTAGATGCTTATTCTAGGACAAGTTATTTGTCTTCACACAATTTCAGTTTCCTCATCTATAACACATGGATAAAAATACATGTGACCATGATTGGGATTTACCAAAACTTTGGAATGTATGAAAATTTCAAGAATTATTTAAAATATTTAATGAATACATAAGCCCTACTAACAATAATGACACAAATCAATTCAAAATATATGTATAAGCTAATAAAATAGTTAAGCTTTTCAGAATTTTAAGTGCCATAGAACATAAATATTCTCTGCCAATTTATTGTGTTTATTGTGTGAAGTAATTAGACGAACATGGTTGTTTTCCACATGAGCTGTCACTCATGATTTCTTTTTCTCAATATCCAAAATAATATTCAAGATGAATAAATTTCATTTCCTTTTCCTTTCAGTTGAGCAGGTAGTTAAACCCAAGAAAAACAAGACAGAAAGTGAAAGGACTTCAGATAAACCCAAAAGAAAGAAAAAGGGAGGCAAAAATGGAAAAAATAGAAGAAACAAAAAGAAGAAAAATCCATGTGATGCAGAATTTCAAAATTTCTGCATTCATGGAGAATGCAAATATATAGAGAACCTGGAGGCAGTAACATGCACGTAAGCTTTAAAAATTATATAGAATTTCATATTTCCTGCACCATATTTGAAACCCCTACCTACAGAAAACCATTTATTTTTTTCAGTATGTAAACGAAGGGTCAATAAACTTTTTATTAAAGGATCAGACCGTAGACATTTAGGCTTTGTGGGCCAAGAAGATGTATGTACTTACATAACCAATTAAAATGTAATATTTTAAAATATAGAATATATATGTATATATAGAATATATACATACACACATATATATATATTTCAAAAAAAGACCTTAAGGTACTTTTCACATGACCTTTCTTGTTATTCTAAACCACCCCTAAAGCTGCTAACATATTCAATAATAGTGGAATGTATTTAACTGCATATCAAGTCATTGAACTTATCACAATGAATGACAAGGTGTGTCTTCTTGGAATATCACACCCAAACTAATCTCAACTTGTTCTTATACTAATAGATCTTTAGCTGCAATGCATTCAATGTCTCATGATTTTGAAATACAAATATATGACAGGACTTTTTAAGGTGTTACAGTTAAATGATTGCTTATGACTAGGTAGTAAACTTGAAATATGGAGAATGTTTTCAGCAATTACAACTTTTAAAAATGGATTGTCTGCAGATGCCATCAGGATTACTTTGGTGAACGGTGTGGAGAAAAGTCCATGAAGACTCAGAGCATGGTCGACATTGATTTATCAAAGATTGCATTAGCAGCCATAGCTGCCTTTGTCTTTGCTGTGAGCTTCACAGCCATCGCCATTGTTATTACAGTCCAGTAAGTTTGACACTACTTAAAAATTCCCAGAAAAATCATGGCAGGTTAATTATTTTTCAGTATTTCTATCATATTTAGATGAGTTATTCTGTTGGTGATATGTGATCTTTGGACAGACTATAGTCAAAATTTCTATTACTTTGCCTACTATTGAAACTTAACATGTAAAACTCTTTTTTAGAACTAGAAATTTTTTGAATTTAAATATTGATGGTTTAATTGCATAATATATTTCTACTCATGGCTACTACTGAATCTCAGAAAGTGCTAATAGTTTAAGTTTAACAAGTTGTTCAGAAATTAATTAAGGTCTTCTTCCTAGTAGGTTCATAGCATCACATTGTTTTGTACTAAAAATCACAAAGAGCTTCAGATCAGTAGCCCCTAAAAAGCATGTCTCTGCTCATATTATAATGCAAAATTCTGAGTTAAAAACTTCATAGCAACAGTTCTAGTTTAGCTACAGCTTATGCATGTTTTGTTTTAAGTGTGGGAACTTATTAAAAAACAAAACAAAACATTTCCTCCATATGGCATGGTGTAGGAAGCTAGAACAACTCTATTACTGTTCCACTTCTTCAGTATCTTCCCTGTGCAACAGATCACATGTTTCCCTTCATGACCAAAGAATGCTAGAACTAGATTGTTCTAGGTAGTAGGCACTGATGGGTACATCAAACTGGTATTGTCTGTCAAACAGAAGTTACTGAATAAGGGAAGTTGGGGGAGGACATGAATGGCTCTAGGATGACTCATGTGCTACTGGAGCTCAGGAAAAGCAATGGACTCATTATTCTAATTTTAGGTCTTTGTAAATTACTTTTAACAACTGGATTGTGTACTCGATTTACCACTACTACCCTTCAGGAAACAAGGGGTTATCTTCTGTCATTGTTTACTGCTATCTTAAATGCAGATGAGATAGTGATAAAATGACACATAAAATGTTTTATCACGTACATAAAGCTTGATGTGCAGTTTAAATATGTTTTGTGTGCTGTAGAATTTATTCTGATCTTCTAATACCTAAAGCCAGATATGCAAATGTGTTTGGGAAAGATACCCTCAGAAAAACCATTATTATTTGACATAGAAAGATAAAACAAAATAATTTCTAGTTATTCAACTTCACAATATTTGATAATCTTTTGGAAAAACATGAGATGACTGTCATGTTGGTACTCTTAAAATAAAGCAGTGGTTTTTCTCCTTTTCTCTCAGCTTCTTCTTGTATTTGAAATGTATCAGACATTAAGCCTAAGCCACAATTGATGTTTTTTTCATAACTGAAGATAATTTTTGCTTTAAACATCACAACCAAAGTTCTGATGAGTTTAAGAGAATGTTTAGTAGAATGATTAAAGACCTACTGAAAGTAGAATTGCTTTTACAACACCAAAAGATTTTTAAACTATACAGGTTTTAAAATAGAAAGTAGCAATAAATAAAACTAGAAAAATGATTTATATTTAGAAATAAATAAAACACAACTTGTTTTATAAGATGGCTTTTTAAAGTTCTAATCATTTAAATTCCTTTTTGTAAGCTTAAAACCCTTCTATAGTAAAATTATCCTATCATCTTCTCCATTTGTGTATGACAACTATGCTAAACTTTGCAGGAAAAAATAAGACATATGGATATGTTCCATGCCTTCTGAAAGTTTGCATCTTGAATATACATTTAAACTTCAGTGCTTTGGAAATGTGTTTATACAAAAGCAACATAAATTTCCCTTTTAAAAAGAGCATTTGTACTTAGTGAAAACATCACAGTACAAATGAGTAGTACTTGATAACAGTAGTGTCTTGTCCCCTTCAGCCTTCGAAAACGATGCTTCAGGGAGTATGAAGGAGAAGCAGAGGAACGAAAGAAACTTCGACAGGAACATGCAAATACACATGCTACTGCATAACTGAAGGTAATACAGGTTTGACTTTTAAAAGTTATTGTTTGATTAAATCCTATAATTTTGAAAAATACAACACTGTTATCTCAAGAAAAATGAGAAATGTGTTCCCAATTATAGATACAAATAAAGTTACTGAGAATTGAACTGAGTTCAATAATGAGAATGGACTATATATTTATGCAGTATTAAAAGGAATCTAAATGTGGGAGAAACCAATCCTTTCTCAAGGAACTTAATGTTTAATAGATAAGAAAAAATGTAAAGAATTAGAATACTGAAGGAAGTAAAATGTTGTAAGAAAGGAACCAATGGATTATGAAAAGTTTCTAATGAAAGAAAGAATCCAGTGGGATACATCTAGGGAACACGAAAGGGTATGTATTCAGGGTGGCATCAGAAACAAGTCTAGAAAGACTGATAAGGTTGGGACAGACAGTTATGAATGGGAAAGGAAGGGCAATACTGAGAGATGGAATAGATCACTTTGGAAAATTTAGAGAACAGGCTGTTTCAAATGACTGTTAGATCTGGTTATAATGAAAGGATGAGATCTCAGAGAGCCAAGGTTAGGACACTTGCACTGAAAAGGTGAGAAAGTGAGACAGGAGCTTGAATACTCCTTAAAGAAAAGAGGTAAGGGGAAGGGGGTTTACAAATTTATGAGTGGATTAGTAAGAATCTACATTTTTATTTTTTGTAAAATGTTGTAGGCAGAAGGCAAAGTATAAAGATGGGTGTTTCACTGATAATGAAAGTAAATGTCTTTCCTTAGACATTTAGGAAAGATGACGTCACATCCTTAACTTACTGATTTTCCACCTTCGTTGGATTTGAAAGTTACTTGAGATGCTTATTAAATGTTATATTTCTATGCTCAACCTAAATCCACTGAATTAGAATTTCTGTTTTTAATGAACATTCCAGGTGGCTCTGATGCTTGGAGAACCACTACAGTTTTTATTGGTTAGGTGCAGATGTTACATTGTGAGCCTGTTAGAGAATTAGTCTCATAACTCATGAAATGGATAATTTTTATTGCATCAATTTTTAAAAATGTATTGGCTTAACTACTGAAGCTAAGATCACCAACATAAATAAGGTTGATTTTTGGTTACTTAGTGTCATTGAGGTTTCTCAGTATAGGTCCCAGAATGATTTTAGGAAAGAAATATGCTGTGCTGGCATTTAATGGCTGCCTATTAAATGGTAGCTACTATTATTATGCCCTTGGTACTAATTATCCTAGATTAGCTGTATATCATAAATACACCAAACCACTTAATCTTTGTTTGCAATTATGGCCACTGTGTATATTTGTTTAGGAAAATTATTTTTCATGGCTGTTGTTTCTTTCTTTCTGTCTTTGTTTTTTTTTTTTTTTTGCGGTTCTGGGGTTTGAACTCAGGGCCTCACACTTGCTAGGCAGGTGCTCTATCACTTTGAGCCACTCTACCAGCTCTGTTGCTTTCTTTTACTAAGGAAATTTTATTCAATTCATACAAGCACTTGTAATTTTCCACCTAACTACTCATATAACGTAAGAAGAAATGAAAGAGGGTTTCAAGCCAAAGTGACAGTTTGTCTCTGAAAAATATTTAGCATTTCCATAAGATAGCTTACAAAAAAATTACAGAAATTCTGATTCCTGATTTTTATTTAAAACTGTCTTAAAGCTATGTTTGAATTGAGCTTACCTTTAATACTTTATTTTCTAACAGGATATCAGGTCGAGGTCACTGCCAAGTCACAACTATAAATCATGTGTTGGTCTTCCTTTCATTGAAGAAAATGGAACCTGTCTCTTCTGAGGGTTTTAAACTTTTAATTGTCACTTTTTATGCTAAGTCTTATTTCTGTACATAAAGAGATGCATGGAGATAAAAAGTATTTTTTCAAGTTGTAAATAATTTATTTAATATTTAATGAAAGTGTTATTTATTTTATGGCTCATTAAACTTTTTTTAATCAAGCACATTGAGAGTTTGAATATTAGTTTTGAAGTTGCAATACTCCAGGATATTTTTCTCCAAGCATTTTGTTGATCATTTAAAAAGGATCCCTCCACTTTTTTTATCTTTTATGTTGATTTTTCAAACATTCCTTTTCTTAGAAAGCACTCTTCTTTTTTCTCCTCTTCCTCCTTCCTCTACTTCTCCTCCTCTTTTGGTTTGGTTTTCTGAGACAGGATCTTACTCTGTAATCCAGGCTGGACTTGCACTTGCAGTCCTCCTGTCTTAGCCTCTTCGGTGGTTGAATTATAGGCACAAACCACTATACCCAGCTTCAGAAATAATTCTAAATGGGAAAATTACTTACTTCTCCATAAACACTAATACTTTTTGTAATAATAATAATAATTCCAAACTGGCCTTTCTTATTCCCTGTAGAGCTTTTACCTAGACCTGTTAGTTATAAAAAGCATCTGGAACCAAGATGAGGTGTTGCCTCTATAACAGTAGGCCCAGATAGTATAAAAGAAAGCAAACTTACAGTTCATCACAGTGATTACCATAGATAAAGAGACAAGAATGGTTTGAGTGTTGTAAAAGTGGCATTTCAAGAGAACCAGGAAGTACTTATATTTGAGACTTCCTTTCTTACAGCATGACATGAATGCATAAGAATCTAAAACCTACTCCTCCTATGTTCCCTTGCTGCTATTCTGTTGCAGTATTCTTGTGTGTTTTTGGTGGATGGTCTTGCAAGAATGTAAAAGTCATGGGGTCACACACAGACTGGTACCTGGCTAATCCACCAAGTTATCCATACAACTTTAATACATAACAAATGTTGTAATGTGTGGGGAGAATATTTTGAGAAACCATTATAGAATTTTATGAATAAAGTTGCCTTAAGATCAACACATCATCTGTTTCAAGCTTAGTACTCACCAAACCTTTGCCCAAAGATCATTTGGGCAGTTGGTTCCTAGCCTTAGCTGCATATGTAATTACTTCAGTTACAAATGTCCAAGCACCCAGATCCCCCCCAAGCTTCTGACTGGAGTGAATTATTGCATCTATAGTTTTTAAAGATTCTTATATGTTTTCTCTATACAGCCAATGTCGAGAACTTTTGATTTACTTCTGTCTGAACATCTTTGTAATATATTTTCTTATTGACTACATTTGAATTTCATATAGTTTAAGTATAGTGTTAAGAATACTGGACAGAAAAACCCTGACTTAAAGAAATTCACTACATGGTTGATGGGAGGTGATGTCCATGCAGTGCCCTAAGCACTGAAGGCATATACCAGGGATCCATGGGTCCCCCTCCTCCAAAGTCTTCAGCTAGTCCAGGCTGAAGAAGTCAAGGAGCTCTTCTTGGAAATATGCTGCCTGAAAGGCATCATTGAAATTACAGTCACCACACAGCATGACCTGAAAGAGAAAATGGGTCAGTATTACTGAAATAAAATGTGAAATCAAGAGTCTCTAAGAAAGCTGGGCCGGTGAAGACAGAGTTACACAGAGACTACAACTTATACTCTAGGACATATGAAACAATTGGAGTCAGTTGATGAGGGCAGAAACGAGTAGATTTGCACTTCTGACAGGTTATTAGGCCATTATGTTGGGGAGCCAAGGGCAAGGCCAAACGTCAGATGATTAGTTTGGAAACAAGGTTGAGGGCAATAAGATAGAAAAGAGAAGAAATTATTCTAGATTCTTGGCTGCTAGAGCTAGGTGACTGTTGACATTATAACTTAAGGCTCAAGATCCTTTGAATGGCTTGTTGAATAATTTAGAAGAGAAGCATGCCTTTCATTTATCCATGACTGACGAGTAACTTCTGTTTTGGAAAGTTATCTTTTCTAATGTGTAATAGATTTATGAGAAAATAAGTACCAGTTCCACCAGTCAACTGAACCAAACCTGCCTCTCATCTCACATCTGAGTTTGAGAAAAAAGAAGGAAATGACCTGGTCTGCTGGTCTGGTGAGTTCAGCTTTGCACCTGTTGAGTTTTAAGTGTTGGGAGGTATCCAATAAGCAGATAAATGTTTGAAGTTCAAAGAGGGAGGAATTATAAATTGAGAATTATCAAAATGTTTTTGGGAACAGAAGCTACCAAAGGAGGCTATAATGAGTCAAAAGAGTATCTTTCCAGTGGCCAGTAAACTCCTGGAGGCTAGTATAGCTACTGTGAAGGTTGTAGGTACTTGCCTGTTACCTGATGTAGTTTTCTAGCCCTTAAAGTTTAGGAAGTTATCATAGTAGAGAAGAAAGGTTTAAAAAAACCTTATTTTCATTGTAGTAACAATAAAAATACCAAATTTATTGAATATGCTAATATCCTATAGACTCATTTAAATTCTTTACACATGGTAATTCGTGTCATACATTTTCTTAGAAAGTGGAAATGTTTTGTAGAAAAATAAAGTGATGCTCAGAGAAGTTAAGTGACTTGTTCATGGTCAATCAGTTAGTAAATGACAGTGTTAGTTTTTCTGACTGTAGAGCTGTTCACTTAAATTATTCTGTCTTCCACGTCTCCTAGAGTCAAACACTTGTTGTTAGGCTTGAAAAATTCAGTTTACTTACCAATTTAGCATGTTTTTAACTGCCAGCCATTTATAAAATATTTAAGTTTATATGTTGAAGACCTAAATTATATGACACTAAAATAATCTACCTGTATATCCTCCACAAAATTTCCCAGTCTATTCCCTCCTTCATCACTTCTTCAAATGTGATTGATCTCTGATTTATGATGTGCACACAGTGAATGATAAACAGAGATGAAGAAACATCAGCCAAATCTTGAAGATGTGCAATAAAGCTGATGCTGCTCTTTAGACAACATAGTAACTCCAGTTTCTGAAAAGGCTACTGTTCAGCTAATTAGATAACAACTACATATGTGTGTTTTGTTCAAGAAAAAGGTGATTTGTGAAGTGCTAGTTGGATTAGGTTGGAATATTAGCATCCTATCTAGAGTCAAATACCACTCATTTTAGTGTTTGATATATATATATATATATATATATATATATATATATCCATTGCTCCCATTCATTGTCACAGAAGCCAAGTGTGACGCTCAGTTTAATTCCAGATTCCTGTCTGTCAGGTTAAATAGATGTTTCATCAGCACTTGTTGTCTTATTCCTGAGTATCTCTATACTTTGGCACCTTGGGAGAGGAGTGTAGAATCACAGTCAGGTCCTAAGAGCTGCTAACCTTGGGAGTTTATCCCAGACAATAGTCAAATATGTTCCCTCTTTCCTGTTGTACCCCAAGCTTTTGTGCTCATTCTACATATGGAAAATCTACATTGCAGCTCAAGAATCATAAAATTCTGTCCAGTTTATTTCGGCTTACCTATTTCTTCCTACTGGAGAACTTTCTCCGCTCTCCTACCTGCTCCCATGTAGGAAAAATTCCCCTATTACATAAATATCTAATTAAATATTTATTTGTATAGCTCCCTGACATCTTCTCCTACTGGTCTAATAAGCTTCCAATGGTAGAGACTGAGTCTTTCCCACTGAACAATAAATATATGTTGATTGAAGAATAAATGGTTAAAGGATATCCAATATCACTTTCTCTTATAACTGCCATCATTATAAAAAGTATTTTGCCCCTGGAAAGAATTGCATGGGTTTGAAATAATATCTTTACTCAGCAGCAAAAACCACTTAAAGGTCATAGATTATTAATAATAACTTCTCCATGGATCTCATATATTTTTATTTAAGAATGTATAAAATTATACAGCATTTTCAATCAGTTCTCATGGACTTCAAATGGCTGTTCCATTCAGAAATTTCTTACAATCTAAAATTGTCTCTGTTCATATATCTGCCTTTTCCCCTCCATTTATTCAACCAAAATATCTTGTTAACAACATGAACAACATAGAACTCAGGTGAGTTGGAATGTAAAGATAAAGAAAATAGTCTTCATCCTAAAGAAAACTGATTTGAGAGGAAATTAATCATTCCTAATGGAGTATTGTTAGCCTACTAGCCATATCCTGCCAAGTCTGTACTTCATGGTTCACCATCAGAAAATATATCATTGTTACATGAAATAGACTATAAACTAGAATTTTCTTACTAAAGGAATAAAAAGCATTAAGTGCAAAGTCTGCTTACAATTTAATTTTTAAACTGGGAATGAAAAGATACTTCTTGAACTTGATTAAAAAAATGCAACCAGAACCTATGGAAGAATTTAAACTTATTGGCAAATAGTTAGATATTTCTCATTTTTCTTTCTTTTTTTTTTTTTTGCAGTTTTGGGGCTTGAACTCAGGGCCTACATCTTGAGCCACTCCACTAGCCCTATTTTTTTGTGAAGTGTTTTTCAAGATAGGGTCTCACAAACTATTTACCCAGGCTGGCTTTGAACAGAGGTCCTCCTGATTTCTGCCTCCTGAGTAGTGAGTATCACAGGTGTGAGCCACCAGCACCTGGAAATATTTTTCTTTTAAGATTTAGGCATGGATACCTATTGTCATTACTATAGTTTAACATAGTCCTGAAATTCTGACTACAGCTTTTAGGAAAGAAATATGAGTTCTAAGATTTTATAGGAATGAAATAAATGTGCCCTTATTTGTAGATAATAACCTATCTAAGAGAGCCAACAGAATCAATATACAAACTATAAGAATTTATTAGAGAATTTCATGAGATTGCCATATACAAATTCCAAAATTAATAACTTTTCTTCTATGACAAATCAGTCCAATATTAAAATAATAAAAGAATATTCACATTTGTATTGATGAATATATAAGATTTCATTGAAAAACATGTTAGAAACCTATTAAAAGAAAACAAAGAAATCTTTCATGGAAAGACATTCTTCTATTTTAGACTTTATGCTATAAAGAGATTTATTCTCTCCCACAGTAATCTTTAAATTTAACAGTATGTTAATAAAAATTCTCACTGGATATTTACAGAAA